TTTGGTGGAAATATTAATTTTGATAGAAAATCATCTCGAGCTTTAACACGTTTTCAAATATATATAAAAGATATACCAAAAAATATATCATCAAGTAAAATAGGTGAAATATGAATCAATTTTTTTTTGTTCTTATTGTGCAATAATCTCAATGCAATTTTCTTTCATGTTTATCTTTATCTGTAAATTTTTTATATTGTATTTACACATAAATAGTATCAACCTAAGATAATTAATAAACATTTTTTTTTTATAGAACTGAGAAAATAATGAATATAAAATTCTCAATTGATATTTTGCCTTTTTCTCCTGTTTCAATGACGAGGATCAATTTTAAAATCTTCCTCAAAATACGTTTGTAAATGATATTCTAAATAGTGCATTTTTGATTTTTACGCAGATAAAAATTTACATTTAAGGAGTTAAGAATGACAGGGAGGGATGCACTTTATCAAAATATCTGTATTTTTAAGAATCAAAGATTGACTAATGAATGATATGTTTTCATTTGTTTATGAAAACTTTTGATACAAAATATCCCATGTTCATTTAACTATGTATATGTTGCGCCAATATGTTTATACAGAAATCTTCGAATATAGTCGTTTGAACATAGAATGCATTGTTAAAGATCGTTTTCAATGATAATAATACGATTCGATTCGATCAGACAGATCTTATCTAATGATTTATTTTACATAAATAAAACAAAATCTGATTGAAATGTTATTTGTTTGATTTACTCTTATCATATGTGGACTGTTTTCAGTCTACAAAGTAAAAAAAAAATATCTGTGTGGGTATTTATTTGACAGTCACATCTAGAAATAATCCTTCGATGATTATAATATATTTTGCAATATTTACATCCTTGCTTATGAGTCTTTAAAATTTTTGAATGAAACTATAACATATCAGATAAATATTATTATTTATTTATTCGATTAAATATGCACAATTATACCGAAAAAAGAAATATAGTTACAATTAGCCATATTGATATGATTCTCTTTCATCTTCATACCCATTCTCAGCCTTATTTGTCTTCCATCGAACTGGAAGAACTAGTCGACATTGCATTATACTTAGGATGTGCATGCTTTGGTATATTCGAACTGTCTGTGTTGCTTTCATTTCTAAGCTTTGGAGGCAGACAGGAACTTTTTGGGTAGTCAAGTTTAGGTCTGTTCGAACCCTCTATTGAGTAGTCAAGCTTAGGACTTTCAAAGTCTGTCATTGGATAGCGATACTCAAGTTCACTACTGTCAATGGCAGCAGTCGACAGTGAATCTTGAAGTTTATTTCGAACTCCGAATTTCGGCATAGTTGTGACAGGGGTTGTAATTTGAAGTTGATGCATTCTATCATTTATGTTTGCAATATTATTTCTTGTCGAAATGATGTCTTGATGATCAGGTGGAAGTAATTTTTGTTTCATATTTAATGATTCTTGATAATATTTCAATGCACGATCGAGATTATTCAATTTTTCATATACTACTGCAATATTGTTCCATGTCATAGCAATATCAATATGATATAATGGTAAGAATCGTTGTTGAATTTTTAGTACATTTTCATAATATTGTAATGCACGTTGATATTCTTCAATTTCTGTATATATACTACCAATATTTGTAAGTGTTTTTGCTGTTTTTAAATGTTCTTTTCCATAACATGTTTCAAATATTTCCATAGCTTTCAAATATAATTTAAGTGCACGATCATATTGACCTTTTTGATGATAGACAAGACCTATATTTGTTAATGGTCTCGCTGAATCTTTCAATCGTTTTGGTTTAACATTGATCATTAAATCATAGGCATGTTCATAATATTCAAGTGCTTTCTCAAGATCACCTTTACTATGATATGCAGATCCAATTAGATTATTAATTCTTGCAATATCTTGATTTTGTACAGGATCATTATTTAATAATAAACTTTGAAAATATTTTAATGATTGATCATATTGTCCCATATCAATTAGTAATTTACCAAATATTAATTCAATACTAGTTTCTTCTTCCTCTTTTCTATTTAGTTCAACATATTCTTTAGCTATTTTTGATCCTTTATCACTAGCTTTCAATTTAATTAACCATAGATTTAAATGTTTATCTTCATTGATGGAAATTATTTCAAATGTTGATCCAAGATCGAATAAAACTTCTAATTCATCTGCATAATCACTAAATTGTGCAATATCAGCAAAAATAATTGATTCAGTTTTTTGAATATTACATTCAATTTCATATAGAACTGGAAAAACATTTGTACGTGTTGTCGATTTTGTAGCAAATTTAATTGCAAGTTGTTTTGAACGACTTGTTGATAGAAAACCATTTGTTGAAATTAAATTATGTTCATTTTGTTTTAGATTTTTGAGTTCTTCTTCTTCCATTTTTTGTCCACGATAAAGCATAACAATTTTTTCACCTTTATCTTTCAATTTTCGATATTCAACAACAAGATTAAATGATAGATCAACAATAAAAAATCGAAATATATGTAGTTGTTCAATATCTTCAGTTCTCAATGATTTATTTATAATTTTATATAGGAATGTCTCTTTCGTATACCATTTAATAGCCATATTCGATTGATAGTTCATTTTAAATTCATCAATCAATTTTAATTCTTTTTGATTTCCACGATAATAATGTTGACAAAATTCAATCATTTGTTGTTTCGAGCGATTATCTCTCGGTAATCGTAAAATAACATCTTTAAACATTTGAAACCATAGAAATTCAGCTGATTCTTTTGATAAATTTCTTATGGATTTTTCTTTATATTGATTATAAAAATTGAATGTTTGTAAGTGTTTTTCGACGAGAATAATATTTTCTTTAAGAGAATTTATTAAGTCATGACGTTTGGAATAAATTCCAATAAGTTTGGTAAATTTTTGTAACAGATGTTGATATTTTTCAGGTTTAAAACAAAAAATAAAAACTGAATCAACTTGTATCAATGAATTAACTTCTTTTAAAATGATTGTAGCATCTTGTCCCGATGTAATAAGAAATATTTTTTCATTTTTAATTGATTTAATATAATTAATACAAATTTGTAGATCAATATGAAACACAACACAATTATTGATTTCTCGTAATACATTCATCGTCTCTTCCGTATCATTAGTTTTATCAATATTCGAATCATACCAAATTAGTATAATACTTTCTAGATTTTGTTGTGGATCCAAAATTTTGTTTGTCATTGATAATGATATAGATGCTGGTAAATGTAAAGGTTCCTCCGTCGGATTGGTAAGAGCATGAAAAAACTTAGATTTATCGACGACTGTAATCTTGTTTGAAGCCGAACTAGCATGATCTTGCTGCTGTTGCTTCAAATTTTTACCATCATCTTTCAATGTCGTAGTCATTTTTTAAAATATATTTATCCACATTGGTGTTTTTGACAGCTTGTTGTTTTTAATGATTTAAAACAAAAAAAAAGAGAAACGTATCATATATTTTGAATTGATTTAATACTTTTTTTCTTTCGGATACCGAACAACATTAACGAAGTTATGGTTTTTTTTCATACACAAGTCTCTTTCTTTCCTTCTCTCAATGTATGAAAAAAAACCTATACTTTTGGTTAATGTTGTTCGATGTCTGATAAATACAACCTTGTTGTTGAAACGTTACGATTAAAAATAAGTCGAAAAACGACCAAATCACATAAAATGACGTTTCTATTAAATCAAAATGAAGCATGCTGCTATAATAGGCCCATTATTCGTTTCTACCATATATTCGTTCTGACGCAAATGCAAGTAACCAAGAGCGACTTATAACGAAAGAGAAAAAAAGACAGAAAGAAAACAGACGCGAATAGCGAAAGCGATGTCAAGGCATGTGAGCAACATGCCTACAACAGCTGTGTCCGCTAAATGATCTTATAATTACTTTATCTGTTGTTTTCTTCTTATAGGAAATAAAGAAAGTCTTATGTACATTAAGTTTACTATTTATTCTTGATAGTGAAAAAATGACTTTGCCACTTTATATTTGAATGTATATCGTTAGATTTATATAATGGCAGCAATAAATATTCGATCATCGATAGATGATATTTTCGTTGAAAAATTAATTAGATGTCTTAGCTCATGTAAATGTCAAAGTTGACTCTGAAATTCAGTTGCCTTTAAAAGACAACCAGTTGATTCTAAAATTTGAAAGTCAACTAGATCGAAGGGTGTTGACTCTTAAATTCTGAAATCAGCTAATTCAGATTAAAATGTCGAAATATAAAATTCACAGCTACCAAATATCGACTGTTTTTATCAAAGTAATCAAGATTAATAGTGGAGAAGCAACACTCTACACAGAGTCAAATAGCATTTAATAACAAAGAGCTAGCAAACCATTCGTACATATTCGCTCGTCGATATCAGTCGTATAGATCTTATTCGATTCTTTATCATACATAGAACGTATAAGCTTATATTTCAGCTTGATAAATTTTCTTTTTTTTTTTTTTTCTTCACTATCTAAACATTTCCTTCTCTTTCATTATCTTTAACAAGGAATCTACCAGCTAGTGCAAGATGGTGAATCCACCATGCATTCAAGCAGAGACTCCTCACCCCGTCCTCGTCTTTCACATGGTACCCCACAACAACAGCAACAACGTCAAGGTGATAAATTACAATATGAAACATTTGATCTGAATGACATGATGGACAAGAACCAACGTGATCATCGTGATGTAAACGAAAAACGTCAACGGTCTGATTATCATCATCATATGAATCCGTGGGTAAATTACCCACCTCATTCATGTCCACGTTCATCTTATGTTAATGATTCATCCAGATTTAATCGGACCAACAACAATATACGTCCATTAATGGAATACAACAATCCGAATGACTCATAAAGTGATATACAAGTAAATACGTCTACAACGAATCGATTTAACAAGAAAAGAAAACAATGCATTACAGATGAACCAATGGAACATAGTTATGATGAATCACCAATATGTCAACCAGTATGTGATATTAATGTTAATTGTCCACAACCACATACAACAACATCAACATCAATTAATACATCGAAATTAATTACTGAAGAAGCAAAACGTTTTGCACAATCCCGCTATCCATACCCTCCTTTCACGTTATTATTTAAATCTTCAAAAATCAATGATAAGACGATCATCAACGAATTGATAAACTACTGCAAAGAAAATTATTCATGTGATCTTGATCTTGCTGGTTTTCGTACGTCTTCAAATCGATGCAACATCAACGAATGTAATTTATTAATATTTGTTAAAAATAGTCTATCATTTTCTTTTCTTTCAACTGATATAAAATGACCAGAAGCTTTTTGTGGTGCAGCATTTACAATTGAACGTCAACCAGTTATTCCTCCACAGCTAGCAGTCATTATTTCAAATGTTAGTTATACAACAAACATATTGGAATTTGAAAAGGACATTAAAACAAGATATGACAATATTGTTAAAGTTGTTCGATTAAAAAACAAGAATCAATATGATACAAAATTTGTTAAATTAGAATTTAACTCATCAAAAGTACGTGATGAAATTTTCGCTAAAGGTTATATGATGATCAATTATTTGAAGTATGAGGTGAAAGAATATTTACCACAAGCATCTATACTGCTCTGCTCCAACTGTATGAGATTGGGGCACTTCAGAAAACAATGCAAACAAACTACTATCGGAATTTTAAAAGAAGGCCGGTGGAAAAAAAGCTTATAACTTTCGAACGAAAAGTCATAGCGACCTGCGGTTTTCAGCAATCGATAGAAGATTATAGGGGACACATTTTTATATAAAAAGCAAGGTTTAAATAATCAGTGATTGTGGAATTACTGAAAGAGTAGGCTCGTTATTTGGTGAAATCTCAGCAGAACAAGCTGAAACTTTCAGCATATATAGCCCCACTATAGCCCAATCTTCCCTAAAAATATCATCGATAAATCTTATAATGACAAAGAATGGTGAGCCAATCATCATCTGATCTTACACAAGGCTCTCATTCACTCAATATATTAGGAAATGGTCTCAACTTTTGGCTGAATAAATACCATAATCTAGACTTCATATCTATGTAATAGCATTGTACTTTGATCGTAGAAATATACGGAAATAGCCAAAATTCGACGAAGAAATGATTTTCATACAGTAAGTATTTTAAAACAAATCTTCCCAACTTTCTCAAGAGAAATGCAGAGCTTAGTAATATTTTCACTGTCTGTTCTCGTTCATATAATCAAACTATGATATAATTGCATAGATATGAAGTCTAGATTATGGTATTTATTCAGCCAAAAGTTGAGACCATTTCCTAATATATTGATTGAATGGGTGCCTTATGTAAGACCAGATGATGATTGGCTCACCATTCCTCGTCATTACAAGATTTATCGATGATATTCTCAGCGAAGATTGGGGTACAGTGGGACTATATATGCTGAAAGTTTCAGCTTGTTCTGCTGAGATTTCACCAGATAATTAGCCTATTCTTTCAGTGACTGCATAATCACTGATTATTTAAACCTTGATTTTTATATAAAAATGTGCCCCCTATAATCTTCTATCGATTGCTGAAAACCGCAGGTCGCTATGACTTTTCGTTCGAAAGTTATAAGCTTTTTTTCCAGGTGCCTTCTTTTAAAATTCCGATAGTAGTAATTGGAACAAATACGAGTGTTGAAATTAGGTGAGTTTTAAACAAAGTCAAATTTTATCTCTTGGTATTTATAGATTTATTCATATGAATCATATTCTCACAAAAAAGCCTACTAAACCACATTTGTCTAATAAATCGATGTTTTGTTATTTTTAAATATTTGCTTCACATCATACTACATTTTGCTTTTTCGATCCACGACAATTTACAAGACACATCATTGTTTGTTATTTCAAGCAGAGTAAACTATGAAACAGATGATAAGTGAAAGAGAATTCATGAATGATGAAAGGATAAATAACGACGTGATAGTATTTGTGTCAAAGAAACGTTTGAATGATTTTTAGTCAAAAAGAATCATATTCAATGGTCTTTATGCAAGTGCTCTGGAATACTTCTTTGAAAAAAAATAAGATATAACTCCATAATTAGAAAATAGATGCTTATTTTCTGTCAAGATAAATAAAGTATTACAAGTTCTTTTAAATAGCTATGCTTTTGTTCACATCTCATACATTGGTTCGTTTTTGATTGAGTCCATTAAATATTTAGTTCGAGACAAGATATAAGATTAAGTAATTTAACTATATCAAGTATTATAAATCGTATATGAGAGATTCAATTTTCTGAAATAAATTTAATATAATTATCGATAAAAATTTTGTAGTATTTTTTTTTACCAACCATTATATTGAGAAAAAATAATGTCTAAAAAAATTAACTCAAAACTCTTCAAGCCAATGGCATCAAATTATTCAAAGAAAAATGAATTATCAGTCTATTCCTTACCTGATTATGGTGAAATTACGCACTTGTTCTGTTTTATTTTTTCTTCCATTTTCTACTTTTATTATTGTTTATAATAGTATGGTATGTTGTATTTTAAATGTTCGTAGTGGTCGTTATTTACTAAAACAAACCTAATTTCTACAAAAGAAAATCATGAAATCGGACATATTTTATTTTAATTCTACAATTAATTCCATTGATTATAAGCTTTCAACAAAAAATTCTTATTATAATTTTTCTTCAACAAGTTTGTCCAATGAAAATAAATGAAGATGAATTAACTGATGATATATTAAATGTTTTAAAATCATATACAGATAGTCAATCAAATGAATTTTATATAAAAACAAATTTAAATTTATTTAGTACAAAGTAGGGTGTGAATATGGGCGGCATCTGTTCTACATTTCCAAAGCCATGTCCTACGCTCATGAAATTCAAGTGAAAGAAAACAATAATTTTGAAATTGTTCAAGACAATTAAAGCAAAATATAAGTTTGTAATAAAATACGTCAAATCGTCAAGATATTGTTTAACGAATGGTTCGTAATGTGAGAATGAAATGTTAGCTAGGGTGGGTGTGGATGTGGCGGTTTTGAGCATTTCATCATCCACACCACATGTTCCACTCTATTATTTTTTTGATACAATAGCATTGACAAAGTTGTATTCATTGACGATAATAAGATTATTTGTACATGTTTTTCAAGTGTGCATGTGAGGATGTGAGCCGTCTATTTCTACTCGTTTACACCCACATGCACACGCCCACACCCTCACATGAATATCCTCAATGACATACATGCAGCAAAGACTACATGTTAATTTGCTCTTGTTTGGTTATTTTTCTTACATTTTTAATCGTGTATGTCATTTGAACAATGTCTATAAGCAATGAAACTCATCATTGCAGATCAATCTCTGAATTCATATCAATTTTTGCAATCCATTCAAATTTTTGTTATACTGAAAGAGTAAGTAATTCCTTTGATAAAACGCTCTTTGCAGTTCATGTTTCTGTCGAAAACCATTTAAATAGGTTATCCATAGACAAATAGAAAGAGCGAGTAGAATACAAGAAATACATAAACAGTCATCAGAACAGATCATCATTGAACTTTGAGATATTAGTAGCATTGTTTTCCTGCTGTTTAACAACGATTGTTCATTACTGGCCACCGATATTGAAAAGGTTAAACAACAATATGCTGATTTCGAATCATCATAAGATCAATTTTCAATCAGCATTTCTTGATACTCGGTCAGCGTCCTTTTCAACACTGAAAATTCGTTTATAGATACTCTTCAAAACTGTTGAGTTACATAGATGAAGGATATTTTTGTTATTACGTCATCTGGCAGCTATCTCAATATTTCTAACCATTTTTTGGCTATATTATCAGTAGAAAAAAGATAGATATGCTTTTGCAGATCGATAGTGACTAACGCAAACAAATAGGTAACAGATGCAAGCAAGATAACATAGGGCTACCTTGTGTTTGTGCAGATCTGTGACACACAAAAAAGTAATATTTACTCTGTGAAGGACATATGATATTCTGTTTCGTTTTGTCATTGAAGAATGAGTCAGCATACGAAAAAACTAAGTCACTTCTGTCTTTATCACAGTCTTGCGGTATTACTCAGAAAAAGTGTTGGTGAAAGTGCAAAACGTATATCTTCTTCTATCTAATATTTGTCGCTAATCGTTCCGTATAAATAATCTCCTCTTCGAAACGTTATGACCAACGAAAATAAAGAACAAGTAATTTCGACTGATATAAATGAATCGTCTCTCACAATACCTAGAACGTTGAACCCATCACGCAAAAATTCGGTCATTTCTTTCCGGCATCGCACAGCATCTATTACTAAAATAAATCCATCTGTATCAAAACCATCTATAATATATTTTCTCTCTCTTGTCTATGCTTACTTATGTATTGGGTTTGGAACAGGCGTTATGGCGTCAACATTATTGAAACTGGGTGAACAAACAAATATTACGGTTGAGCAGCTAGCCAGTATAGTTATTAGTCGTGCATGTGGCTCATTGAGTGGTACAACACTTGCTGGGATGCTCATTGATCGATTTCATGATTTTGGTAACACGTTTTTAGCGACAGCACTTTTTATTATGAGTGCAGTAACATTTTTGATTCCATTTAGTTATCGATTGATCCTGTTACTTCCTTTGCAATTGGGATGGGGCTTATCATCCGGCAGCGTGGAGAATCTAACCCAAGTTTTGACAATAAGATATTATTCGCATCATAATGTCGGTCCGTATTTGCAAGCTTTACACAGTGCATATGGTATCGGAGCTTTCGTCTCACCACTTATCGTGGCTCAGTTCGTATCCGAACGACAAGACAAGAATAAATGGCATTATGCGTATTTTGTTATTTTTCTTCTACATCTGCCCGATCTTATTTGGCTTTCATGGTACAGTGGCCGCAATGAATGGTACGGCAAGATGATATCAAAAAAACGAATCACCATTGAAAAAGAGACTAAAGAGTTTCTCAATACGAATTGTACTATTCCTGTCGATCACAATACTGGACAGAAGAAGAAACCAGTCAAGTCCCAGCGATTATTCTTATTGTTGCTTGCACCTTTTCTCTTGTGTTATCAAGGTTGCCTGTATAGTTTTATCTTTTATTTAAATGCATATGCAACCTTGCAACTTCGTTTTTTAAAAGATATCGCTGCCTATGTAAACTCAGCATTTTGGGCATCCTTTGTCATTGGTCGTCTGTGTGGAATACTGCTCTCAATCAGATTCTCTCCACAGAAAATAATTTTTGGAGATCTTATGGGCTCCACAATATCACTGATTCTTCTTCTTGTATTCAACAAATCACCTTTCATTCTATGGGTGGGTTCAATACTTTTTGGTTTTTTCACTGCATCTATTAGATCTTCAGCTATAGCCTATGCTGGAAAACACATAACAGTGACGGGCAAACGTTTGTCCTTTCTCAGTGTTGCGTTCACGATAGGAAACATGACCTTTCCTTTATTGGTGGGTATGAGCATCAATTCAACGTTTCTCGGCTATCCGAGTTTTATTATCGTTGTACTCTCTATTATTATCTTTGCATCGATTTTCTTTGCTCTTAATGTTGTATGTTTTGCACGAACTTTGTCGTCATCACACACAAGCAAAAAAATCACGTCTCAGACTCGAAGTGATCGATCGAAAGAAATGGAGTCAACGCTTGAAACTAATTTGAAACAAACCGAAGTAGATACTCCTACAGTCGGCAATTAATCAGTTTAATTTACATGCATACAACTGTCCTTGACAAAGCACATTTTTTGAACAAGTCAATGGTGTGGGACTGTGTAAAACATTCTTTTATTTTTTTTTTCAAAATTTCACTACTTGATAATGATTTGTCGGAAAAATCTAGCACATGACATGTCAAGAAACAGATTCATTTGTCTTTTTTATGAAGCCAAAGAAGTAAATCAGGGTGGAGTTATAGGTTCATTTCTTCCTCCAGCCACACCTACACCCTGTACCTACACTCTTGCACGATAGGGATGACCCAAATACGAACTATGTGCTCAATTGACGTTACTGATTTTGACGAAGCTTTCTATGTATGTAGCCCTAAGTGAGATATGAAAACGTCAGAAAATTTTTCTTCTAAAACCTTTTCTCAGTTGTGGGTGTGTGTGGGTGGGTGTGAGTGTTGGTGTGAGATGAGAGAATGGGTGAGGGAGTAGATGTGGGTGTAGGTGGGTGTGGGTGTGGGTGTGGGTGTGGGTGTGGGTGTGTGTGGGTGTCGGTGTAGGTGTGCGTATCAATCAAGTGTGTACACACCCACACCCACACCCACACCCACACCCTTGTCAATGAAATGCTCTTAAAACATGATGTTTGTTCGACTGCTATGATCTTTTTTGTCTTTGTTTTCTATTTGTGACGAATGTATACCTATGTTGGATATTTAAATGCTATGTGGAGTTGAAATAAAATTAACAATATGACTACAAATTACAGGTTTCTATGATATTCTAAGAATAAAATGACTTTCATAGCATGATGAATAAGAGTAATCATGATCATGATTTATTTGTCAGCTAAAATATTCATTTGAATCCTGATTTTGACTTCTGGAAAAGAAAAATTGAGTTAAACTCTATTTTCATGATTTCCCAGGTCGAAAAAAACCAGTCCAAACCGATCGGATCCCCATTTCATCTGACAGTTTTCCGTGGTGGGCATTCCGTAGCATCCAACCATCAGGAACCATTGCCATCCGTCGATTTCAGCCGACTTCCATCATCGGATTACGTCGGAATACGTCAGCAGGGTCCGATAACGATAAAATCTTAATGAATCCGACGAAATCTGATGAAACGAAATATGTAGAAAATAAGACGTAATGTGTAAGGACCAAGTCGATGGGTGTGGGTGTGGGGTGTGGATGTGGATGTGTTGTGAAGATAGTATCATTTATTCAGCCACAAGCACACCCACATTCTAGTTCAACACGATGGATTAGTACGGGATCAATCGCTTTGAAAATGATGTAAAATGAGAGTTTTTGGAACAAAGCGGCTGCACCAAATCACAGTAGATGGAGTTCGACCAATTGTTGTCCAGGTAACCTTCGACGATTTTCTACCAATTTATTTATGGTAAAACCATGACTCGTCATCTGTTACTATATCACATAATCGCCATGTTTCTTGCTGGAATTTTGCCAAATTTTCTTCAGATATTCGAACTCGTTCGTTTTGTTAGTTATCAGTCAGCAAGCTGGGTGTCCAATGCCCAGTAATTTTTTTTCAGCTTTAGATGATCATATAGAATTCGTTCCAGTTTTCACTTGTATTTCATCAATAAGGTATCGAACTCTTTCAATATTTTCCGATGTTGTCTTGGTTACAGGTCAACCAAATCGTGATTGATCTTCGATGTCTTCTTGATGTTCACGAAAAAATTTTGATCATTCGACAACTGTATCGTAAGGGGAAGCCTAGTCGCTGAAAACAGAAAACAATTCATCATGAATCAATTCCGATTGGATGTTAAATGCAGTATACACTTTAATGTAGAAATGAGCAGACATGTGTAGAACATTCGTAGTGCTACTATAAGTACATATGGACAAAATTTTTTCTCAACCTTGCTATACTTCGATATAATATCAATCGTATCGTCCTGTGACAGTCTCCAATTTACAGCATATTAAATTTGTTCAAACTCATATGCAATGATGCTGTTACAAAAATCCTGACAACAACAAACAATCTATAGAATATTACAGTTATTTGCACAATTAGAATTACATAGTTCAATTTTATTAAGGAGAAATATTCTGAATTCATTCGAATGATTTTTAACATTAACAGGTA